AAGCCATCTCTATGCAAATAGCAGAATAGATTGTCCTGCAATAAAAAACACACTCTGGTGAGTCATTAACTCTTTCAACTCCACTGCTTTTTAAATGCTGACTACACCATGTATGTGCTAGTCCCCACTCGATATTTCCTTCTGTTTGAATTTGCTACCCAGCAGAGCATGTTTGTGTATGCCAGGCACCAAAGCCTGTTCAAAACACCTTGGTGCTGTTTTACTGTCAGAAGGGAAAATGCTACTGTAGCACATACAGCACTTTGCATCTTCAAAGAGCTGTCCAAAAATCAACTAGCTAGTCTTCACAGTGTGCTTATGGGTCAGTAAATACCTTCACCCCTATCATACAAAGGAAAAACAAATGGAGCTCAAGCAACCTGGTCTAGTGGAAGGTGTCCCTATTTATGGCAGGGGGTTTGGAACAAGATGATCTTTAAGGTCCCTTCCAACCCAGGCCATTCTATGATTCTATGATCAAAAATAGATCAACCCTGCTTTTATTAACTGCTGTTGTTTCAGTGAAGGCATATTGACACACAGCAGCCTACTAGTGAAATCTGTTTCAGCTCCAGAAGGATCTCACCCCCCTACTGAAAAACTGTTCAGAACCATCCTTGGTAACTGTTGTCTCCATAGACAACAAAAATAGTTTGTCAACAAACTGCAGAATTACCGAAAAGCTCCAAGTCCATGGGAAAAAATAAGAAGTGGATATTTTTCTCCTGGCTTAAAGGCAGCATTTGACTTTGCAGGACAGGTCACTGAACCTGGATAAAAACAGAAGTGTATGTCATTGTTACTGAAATGAGAGAAAGTGTTCTCTTTGGAGAGATCCCAAGAATGTGGTGACCACTGACTTCAGAGCAGTCACCCAAAGATAAGGTACTAAGTCTCATCTTTAAAATACATAAGACAAATCTGGATCTCATTCTGAAAATACTTACTACTTGGCAGAAGATACTTTCCCTCTCTTCTTCCCAGCCACAGTCTGGCACAAGGTCTACCTATCTCCTAAATGCTAACAGTCCGGCATACAAGTCTTGTTGGTATTCAGACCTTAGGATCTCTCCAGCTTTTACATCTTTGCACATTTCCCTGTGGGATTTGAATCCCAACACACAGGTGCAGCTTACCCAAGCTCTTCCTAAAGCAAGCTGCCCAGACACTCCTATCCACAGCAGTCAGGGACTGCCTGAGAACTTGGTCACATTCAACACTGAGCCTCCCTACAGAAACCCATCCCACAAAAACACTTGTTTGCTAAAATATATTTTTCAGTCCAGTGATACCACCCTGTTCTTGGAGCAGCGAGGCAGTGGCCTGCAAACAGAGCTCATGCACTAGTCAAGGAATAAAACCAGAACCAGTCTTACCAACGTAGTAATGGAAAAGCCTTTCTCCTACAACCCGGTACATGTTAAGGAAGTCAGAGAGTCCCTGATAGTATTCTCGATCTGGAATCCATCGTGCCTCCTCAGTATCTGTGGCATCACATGCTGGGTAATACAGGCGCAAGAAGCTTCCCTGGGATCAGGAGGAAAGTAAAAAAAGCAATATTGGCATTTCTTTATATATGGCAGAGAAAAAGGAAGATAAAATGATCTGTATAAAGGGCTTCAGATGCAAGAAAGACAGCTCAAGAGATTTAAGAGAATCTCATGAGAAAATTATTATCCTATACAGGCTTTGATGCCAATTCACTTTCTGTCCCTAAAATGAATTTAAAGTAGCATGAGATACAGAACTTCACAGGTAGAGATGCATATTACCTTCCCTAGGTTAGCCTATGGCTAATTCAAAATGCTCCATTTAACTAAGTTAATAATTTACAATCACTACCAATTTGCTCCATTTCTGCATCTTGCTGGATCTTTCCTTCTGTCTTCCTCACTGGGAATGGTTCTACGATGCAGTTTTATAGGGCTGAGTGTTAGAGGGGTGACTGAGGATGATCTGAGAGCTGGAGCATCTCTCCTAGGATGACAGGCCAGGAGAGCGGGGGACGTTCAGCCTGAAGAAGGCTCTGGGAAGACTTTAGATCACCTTCTAGTACCTAAAGGGCCTCTAAGAGCGCTGAAGAGGCACTTTGGACAAGGGGCTGGACTGACAGGACAAGGGGTAATGGCTCTAAACTAAGAGAGAGCAAGGTTAGATTGGATATTATGAAGAAATTCTTTACTGTAAGGGCAGTGAGGCCCTGGCACAGGTTTCCCAGAAAAGCTGTGGCTGCCTCATCCCCAGAAGTGTTCAAGGCCAGGTTGGACAGGGCCCCGAGTAGCATGGCCTACTGGAAGGTGTCCCTGCCCATGGCATATGGTCTTTAAGGTCCCTTCCAATCCAAACCATTCAGTGATTCCATGATTTTATGACTTTGTCCCTTCACCCTTTCAGCTGGGAGCTGTCATTGCTTTCCTTGCATCAGTGAGTCTCATGAAGCTGTTACTGACCCAACTGAGTTTGCTAAACTGGGAGAGGGGGGGAAAGGACCCCCCTGGATGTATATTGTTCCACTAGGTTACCAAGACATATTTTACTCTGAGACTAGTTTCAGGAAGTGTGGTTCAGCAGAGAAAGTGTGTCAGGGGCATGGTCTTGTGGCTATAGTGTTCCTGGCTAAACTGAGCAGAGGCTGTCTGTGAAGCTCTTGGGCAGCTGCACAGCAAGGGAACACACTATATTGTTCTTCCTCCTCAACAAGATGCTTACAGGTCTCTAGTGGTCCATCTTTCTAAACACAATTTTGCTAACCTGTGCTTTATCTGCTTCTGTTCCTTACCACCAGTTTGAATCTTCTTTTATTGTCTGCACTCCAGGTCTCCCAGGAAAGCACCCAAGCTTTCCACACTCACGTGGACCCTCCATACCCCTTGTCAGTCCTTTTCCTTTGCAGACAGCAGCAATGTACCAATGGCACACCTCAAAGCAGAGTTCCAGGCAGATGAACTGTGTGTAATCTGCATTCTTACTTCCTGGTTTGCAAGGGAATTTGCGACACACTATTCAAATTCACTGTCTTGCTCCAACTGTGCTTTTGGTTTAGCTAGTTAAGATCAGGGCCAAAATAAACATGAGCTTTAGAATAAAGCTTGATTTCTTGAACACTAATGTATCGGTTTACCAAAAGCTTGTTTAATGAAGCTTGTTTCTATTTACTTTTCAAAGTTAAACCAACCTTTGACACAAAGACCATTAAGGAAGAACCTCCCTCCATATTGGTAAAGATATTAACTTGATCTCAAAACAGTCCCACTGAACTTCCCCAGTGATTAACTGCTTACCAGAAAGGGAAAGATGTTCATTATCTATGCTTGAGAGAACTGTAATTGTTCAGAACGCTTATCAAAACAAAAACACATGGGCTGATTGCAAAGAGAAACTAATTGCTGCTTTGTGCTAATCCAGAGTAAGTTCAGTAAAGGAAAACATGAACAACCACTGCAAACTGATCACAAGCTCCACTATGGCTAGTCTGAGGAGTAAAACCACAGTGTTACTGCAGGCATATTGTCTAAGAAGCAAGAGGATTTGATATAGAAACCCACAAGTGAAGTCATTTGTCTACCTGTGTGCTTACTGTACCCATCTTCTTATCATGGCTTCTCACTGTGCTAACCTCTTACAGAACTGACATCCTGTTCTTCTCAAGAGAGATAAAATCTCAAGAAGACATCTCACACTTTACCCTGCAGCTGAAACACTGCACACCCTCATCTCCCAGCCCTGCACACCTGCATCTCCCAACACTGCCAAATCCTGTTGGGACCTTTGTGATGAGAACAGCTACAGTCACAGAGACTGCATGTGGAGTCTCCTCAGGAGCCCAGTGCAAGAGGGAGTGGTGGGGTGGGTGGGACACAGTTTCTCTGCAGTATCTTGAGTAGGGGAGTCAGAAGGAAAAGGATATTAAGAGGAAGGAGGAATTGGCCATGGGGAAGGCTTGCAGGTTACATCCATCTAGCAAATGCCAAGTATACATCCTACACCAGGATGGAAAAGGTAGAAATCTCAGCTATGAGTGTCAGTATGGAGCACACAGACAAGACCTTCTGTGTGACTCCTCTGTAAAACTACAGCAAGTTGTTTCACTGACACTGTGGCTTAAATCCAAAAGAGAAAGAATCAAAAGCTTTACCTCAGCTGCATCTTCTGTCATCAGGTCCGTACATCCAACCGAGTGTGGCCCCTTTCCTTCAGGAATTCTGTAAAATCTCTCAGTGCTGTTGGTCCACATTTCCATTGGTGCCTTCACTGGCAAACCTGGAGAAAAGCGCAAAGCAAATCAGGAGAGGGCCATGGCCTCTGTGACCAGATCACCCACCCTGAAACAAATCCAGTGCGCTGAAAATCCAGGAGTAAGAAATTCAAGATTGAGCCGATACATAAATCTGCTTTATGAGAATCAGAGAAATCCCGAATCACCAACCTGACCTGTTCTACTGGGGAATTTCCTTGGAGTATCCTGAATCCTAAGGATCAGACAGCACCGTGCACTTACAGAAAGGTGGGATGAAACCTTTGGCTGGGGAGGCCGCGGTGGCACTCGGGAGGTCTGCGGTGCTACGAACCGCACAGAGGGAGGATTTTGCGGCTCCTCAAGGAAAATCGGCCTATTCATCAGGAGCAGCGGGATGTCGCGGAGAAATACAACGCCGCTGCCATTTTTCCAGGAGGAATGACGAAGCCCGGGTTCGATCCCTGGAGAGACAAGGGCGGGCTGCCCGTGACGGAGCGGGTGTCGGGGCGGTGCGGCCGTACCTGGGGTGACCCCTCCGAGCCGGGCGGGCCCCGGGGATGCGCCGAGCGCGGGGGGAAGCAGCCGCATCCCGGGCTGGGCAGCAAGGAAGCCGCTCCGGCCGCGGGGATGGGCTCTATCCGCTGCCTTCTCCTTCGAGAAGGAGACWCGGGACCACTCCCAACCCACCGCCCCACTGGGCTCGGCCGCCCCGGGGCGGGACCCCCTCCCCGGCCGCTGTCAGCGGCTCCTCCCCGGAAGAACCGCGGTGTAGGCGGCCGCTCCTCCCCGGAAAGGCCCCTCGCAGCCGGCGGCGCGGCGGAGCCTGAATCCCGTATCTCGTCAAGATGGTGCGGAAACTGAAGTACCACGAGCAGAAGCTGCTGCGGCGGCTGGACCTGGTGAACTGGGAGGCGTCGGGCGGTAACCTGGCGGAGGTGCGGGCGCTGCGGCGGTACCGGCTGGGCCGGCGGGAGGACTACGTGCAGTACAAGGCGCTGGCCCGCTCCGTGCGCGCCCTGGCCCGGCGGCTCCGCGACCTGGGCCCGGACAGCGCCGCGTTCCGCTCCCGCTGCGCCGCCGCGCTGCTGGAGAAGCTGCACGGGCTGGGGCTGGTGAGCAGCCGGCAGTCGCTGGCCGTCTGCGAGAGCCTCTCGGCCGCCGCCTTCTGCCGCCGGCGCCTGCCCTGCCTGCTGGTGAAGCTGCGGATGGCGCAGAACCTGCGCCACGCCGTCACCTTCGTGGAGCAGGGGCACGTCCGCGTGGGGCCCGAGGTGGTCACAGACCCCGCGCTGCTCGTCCCCCGCGCCGTCGAGGATTTCATCACCTGGGTGGACGCCTCGCGCCTGCGGCAGAAGGTGCTCGACTACAACCAGGAGCGCGACGACTTCGACCTGGCTGCGTAGGGCTGCTCCGCGGGACATACACACGCTAGTGATGCCACCACTGGATATTCACCCACCCCTTCCAGGCGCACCTGGAAAGGGAGCCAGAAGGAAACTGCGCTTCCAGTGTGGTATTGCCCTCCTCCTGGCTCCCCTTTGCAGCTAATGGCTCCATTCATCCATGTGGAAAAAATTCCCTTTCACATCCACCACTTCAAGAATGCGTCCAGTGGCCCAGCTCCGTGATTGTCCCTAGTGTGTCCAGTGCCATCATCCCTGGCATGCCCAGCTCCATTGTCATCCAAGTGTCCCAGCTCCATCATTATCCCTGGCATGCCCAGCTCTGTGGTCATCCAAGTGTCCCAGCTCCATCATCATCCCTGGCATGCCCAGCTCTGTGGTCATCACAGCAACCCAGCTCCATTGTCCCAGCGTGCCCATCTCCATCCTTCTTACAGCCCAGCTCCATCGTCCCAGCGTGCCCATCTCCATCCTTCTTACAGCCCAGCTCCATCATCCCAGCGTGCCCATCTCCATCCTTCTTACAGCCCAGCTCCGTCGTCCTTACATCCCATAAAGCAAAAGTGCTTGGAAAAGTCTCTGCCTGATCGCAGGAGAGGATGTGGTTAGGTTTAAGTGCTTGGCAGCTAATACTAGCTGCTGGAAGGGGTTTTAAGCCTGGCCAAGTGGCTGATTTAAGACTGTTTGGCAGCTCAGCTGCTGTTTTTTGAGAGGTTGCCCTGCCAGTTCCTCCTTCAGCTGTTGGATGCACAGGAGCCAGAGTTGCTGCTTCTGGAAGGGTTTCCCCTTGATACCAAACAACGTGTATATAGGGAAAATGTGAGAATTGTTGGGGGTCAGCAGTAAACAAGGAGGCCAAATACTGCATTTCTGGAACTGTTAAAGCTTTAGCCAAATATGGAATAAAAAAAAAAAAGCCAACTTTATTTTCATGTGAAGATGTAAAGGGAAGTTTAATGTGCTGAATTCAGTGTCTTTGCTGTGTGGGTCTCCAGCTGACAATTAGGCATCATTTACAGAGCAGGATCTAACTGGGGAGGCATTGGAGCAAAAGCTGACCTAACCATAACTGCAAATCTGGGGGGAACTGTTGCATGTGGTACATTAGCCAGACAAAAACTGGTACTCAAGGGGAACCTTAGGCTTTCTGAGACTGTTGGGAACTTTGTTTCCCTTTCATTAAAAAAACAGAAAAACAAAAATAAAGTTTTTTTGTAAGTTGGTAGAGAAATGTGTGGACTATTTTATGATATAGTTTCTCTGAGAGTTTGTCCTGATTTTTAATTGTTCCACAAAGGCCCATTTGTCATTTTGTAGAACTTTTTTTTTTTAATTTGAGGTCTTTTATGTAACTTACATAACCTTTTCTTTTTTTGATAGCTGTAAGGCTATTACTGAATTCTAATGTGGTTTTTGTTAGCAGTGCTTTCTTTCCATTACCCAGGGCTATGAAAGGATTTGGCAGTAGGTTTAGGAGCAGAGCTCTGACTGCCCATTCCAAGTCCAAAGGGCTGGAGTTCAGCTGCCACTGAAGCTCTGGGTCTGTATGCTTTAATGTGGCTTTTCTAAACAGAAAGGTGTTCAAGTGAGGGATGGTTTTGAGGTTTCAGAAACTGTCATATTATGGCTGTTTTTTAAAAGGCAAACTAAATGTTAAAATTTCTACACATCTCATAAGCCAGCTGTATTAAGCAGAACATTAATTTATAAAGCAATAATAGATATTAAGAAAAGGACACCAAATGCACCTTGCTTATGGTAAGAAATACAAGTTGAAAACACATTTTGCACCTGAAGTCTGACTTTTAAACACCTTCCCAGCTTTCCTCTAGAACAATGTCATTATTTCTTGGGAAATTCGGAAGGTGCCCAATTCAGGTACAGGTAAAAATGGTGCTTTTACTCTTCTTTACTCTTTTGGGGGAACTTGAATAACAACACAGTGACTGTGCAGAGTGTTTTACTACTCATATGATAAACTGCTGCTCTGCCCAGTGTGTTCAGCCCTTGGAAGAACAGCAGAAAAGGAAATATCAAACCTCCAGCCTGTCAGCCTCCATAGTTTACATCATCAGCCCGTTCTTTTTGTATTAAACCAACTTTTCAACCTTCATCTGTGCACCTCCAGCATCTGCAGCAGAAGAGAAATGACCCAGCCCCCTGTAGGCTGTTAAGTTAAGCATTGGGAATTGATTTCCCTATAGATGCTGTGGGATAACAGCATCCATCAGCCCTGCTCTCCTCCTGTGGTACTGGAAATTAAATTCTTATGCTCTCTAAGAAATCAGGCTGTGGGTTTATATGTCTGTATGTGTTCTAAGTCTGGAGTGTCACAGCTGTGCTGGCTGCTGAGGCCTGAAATGAGCATCCTGCTCCTCAGTTTTTAACAGCTGGAGTCCTCACATGCCTCAGATGAGAGCTGGGTCCACTTCAAGCATGATAAACAGGTAAAATGGAAGTTCCAGCAGCATGTCCTCGTTCCTGATGGTGAATTCAGCCAGGGAGATGATGGCTTCCTGGTGTCTCATGGTGGTTTTGCCTTCAGTTTGTGGGTTTGAGTTTGTTTGCCAGAGCTGATGTGCTGTGGCTGCTGCAGGGCGGTTCCTGCAGCAGTTCCGGAGCTGGGGATTGAAAGGGCACAGGAAGCAGCTCCGACAGCCTTTCCCAACACTTGGATAAACACAGAGGCTTTTTTTAAATTCCAAGGCTGGATCCAATGTCAGTATAAATCAGCACGAGCTTCCATAGGTCTGTGTGAACTAGCATGAGGAGATGATCCAGCATGGAGCTTTTCTGGGCCAAATCCTGCAAACTCCCCTCCAGTGCTCCAGGGATTTCCAGTGGGAGAGCTTATGCATGTGGGAGCAGCAGGATGGGGTCCTGGGTGTCACTGTGCTACTTCCCAGCACTTTCTGAAGTGGGCTTGCTGTTCCTGAGGGGGCCCGACATCTCCATGAATCTTCTGGGAAGTTGCTTGTGCAGGAGGACAGAGGATGGTGGTGCTGGTGTTGGAGCAGGCTCTCCTGACAAAACCTGATCATTGTGCCTGACAAAAGTCAGTGTGCACAAAAGTCAGGCACCAGTGTGCCTGACAAAACCTGATCATTGTCACCTTGACAAGTGTCTGTCCCAGCAGCTGAGGGCTGCAGAGGTGTCAGCTTCTCCAGCAAGGGAGGAAAGGGCTTCAGGGGGCTCTGGGAAAGGTGAAAGCCATTGGCAAATGGTGAGCAGTTCCCAAGCAGGAGCGCTCACTTGGGTAGTGGGCAGCTGGAAGGGAGGTTTTACCAGGGCCTACGGTTTTAGATTTGGGGTTTGGCTTTTTTTTCCTTTTTATTTTTTCTCCTTTGTTGTTTTTTTTCTCCTGACCTTGTCTTTTCCTTTATTTGAAGGCTGCCAAAGCGGGGGAGCTGAGCCTGAGGAATGTGAGGGAGCTGAAGGAAAGAGCCCTTCACACTGGCGCCTTTTGTGTTGCAGAGTGTAAAAGGCTGAGGCTGTCACTGAAATGCTAATGTGTGTTTTTTTCACTGATCTGAGCCACTTATTTTCCCAGTAAACAAGCATGCTGCATGTTTTAAAGGCTGCTTCCATGCAACATCTTGATGTGGCTTAGTGCTGACCTCAGTAATTCAGTGACAGCACATCACCATGAGCACAGAGGCTGGGGAAGGTCAGTACATCCCCCTTCTCAAGATCAGAAATGGAGACGGAGAGAACCAAATGTGGAGCTGGGCAATTCCTAATATTTCATGTGAGGGTCCTGCATCCTGAGTTAGGCCATGGCCTTACAGCCTCATCTCAGGGCATTTTCCCATGCTCATCTCAGTAGCACTCCCCAGTATGATATTCCACAGTGGTTGAAGGTGTCACTGTCCCCTTCTTGAGCTCTGATTAATCTGTTTTAAGGACATCCCCTGCCTGATTTGGCACTGCAGATTGAACCAAAGAGCCAATTCTCATCACCAGGGCATGGGATCACCTTAAGTCCCTACCCCAGATACCAAAACATTTCAACACTCACAGGGTCTGGGGGAAAAAGCACACATAAGCACTATGACAGCATTTACCTGAGAGCCCCAGCTCTTGTCCTTGCTTTTAAATACCTCATTTTAAGGACTGAAAAAACTTGTTACCCTTTGCTTGCTGGTTTGGGCCTGCAGCAGGACTTGGGTGGTGAGAAACCTGTCTGCTGTGTGGTTGGGGCATAGGGATGTCAGGTGGAAGCAGCAGAAAGCAGCTCTGCAGTCAGCAGGAAGAGGCACTTGGGTTCAGTCTTTCCATAAACTGTGGAGTTTCTGGATCCAATAGTTAAATCCAAGTGTTTGTCCCACAGCAGGAGCATCCCCTATCACTTCTCTGCAAGCACTGGAGAACAGCCCCTTCCTGCATCATATTAGCTGATTTTGAAGAGATAGAATGTTTCACTCCCAGCAGGCAGAGAAAGGGAGGCCACCCACTAATAACATCGGAGATGGGATTGGTGTATCCTCTGTTTCCTGAGCTGCCTCTTAGAGGATCTTATTTGTAAGTCACAACAGCTTCTGGGCTGCTCTAAACATGTTAGTGGGTTGGTAAATGCAAGCCCAGGCAGCACCACCACCCCTGGTCCCTCCCTGGAGGAGCCACCACCTGCTGCTCCTGGAGAGGCTTGGATGGTTGTGTCACAGGGTAAAGTACTGTGGCAGTACACAGGGTAAAGTACAGGCAGGCTGTCCTGACGTCTGCCAGTCTACCACCTCACCACTGAGTTCATCGAGCTTAAAACACATCAAGAAAACCACATCTTAAAATCACCATCCCTCTCCCCACCAGCTCCAACAGCAGTTGGGGTGCAGGGTCCCTTGCAGGTATCGGGATGCTGGGTGTGTGGGAGGTGAATGCTGTGCTGGCAGAGCACCCAAAACCTCCAGCTGTGTCCCTCTCAACCTCCCAGAAGTATTTAGGCGGGCAAGGACGCTGGAGGTCACCCAGTCCAAGCCCCTGCTCAAAGCAGGACACGCCTCGGGTCTGCACATCTCAGACCCTCGCTGTGTATTAACTTTTCCCCTTCCATCTAGTCTGAGTTTCCTCTGCTGCAGCCCAGTACTGCTGCTTCCCATCGCCAGGCTGGGCACGGCCGTGTCAGGAGGTGGGATACTTTTCCCCACCGGAAAATTCGCCCTACACTCAACGGCGAAGGGGGACGTCCACCGGAGTGAATCCCACCCCTCCGCAGGGACGCACAGGGATTTGGGGCCAGATACGGGGCTGGAAGGGAGGAACTGGAGAAACGCAATCCCTCGACGACTGGGAACAGGCTTCCTGCATGAGCCGGCTGACCCCGGGGAGCGGGGAGCGCTGATAACCTGTGTGAAAGGCTGCGCAGCAACCACCCAGCTCTTTAAAATCCCCTTCACGTCACCGTCGCTCCTCCCCGTGCTCTCCCCAGACCCTTTTTTTGCCCTCGAGCAGCGCCTGGTGCTTCCCATACCTGGTGTGCGGTGTCCCGGTCGCCCTGTGCTCCCGTCCCGCCGTCCAGAGGAGCAGGACGGCCACCCAGAGCCCTGCGGAGCCAGGGGAGCGGCGGCTGCTCCCACAGGAGGACGTCTGTCCCGCAGGCAGAGCCACTGCCGGGCTCTGCCCGAAGGGGAGGGACCAAACTTTGCCTTAGTTTTCAGCTGAGACAATCTTCCCGGGAGAAATCTCCCCTGGGCCTGGAAAACAAGTTTCTGGCGCGGGGCCATCCCAAGCAAAGACTGCGCGTCCCGGCGGATCCCGCGGCCGCCGAGGTGCCGGGCTGTGCCTCCGTGTGGCAGGGACGGGATCATATGTATGGATTCTGGATGTCCCGGCGGTGCTGCCGAGCGTGGCGGAGTGGGGCTGCGTCGAGCACCAGGAACCCCGAGAGAAAATTCCCCCGGATGGGTTGCAACATCCCGCGGAGAAGCTGTGGCTGGACGAGGAGGGGGGACCAGCTGCGGGGGAACGCTTTGCCTCAAGGTCGCTCAGTAAAAGGCCGAATCTTTTCCTCTGGCCTTAGGAAAAGGGGGTAATCACCCTCTAGGGAAGCATATCCCGCTTCTGAGTACAACATCTGGAGCGGTTTAAAGCAGATTGAGCACAGGTCCCTACTGGCGGGGCAGATCTGCACTCACCCCCCCTTTACAGAGCCCTGGCATTTGCCCCCTCGGTAACACTGAATTCAGGGAATTAACCCTAAAACCAGCACCAATAATAACAGATTATTTTATAAGGGATGAGCAGCTATTAAACGGCCATATGAGCTTCAAAGGAAGCAGCAGGGGAGGAGGGGAGGTAAAATTTGGCTTGGCCTAAATTGCTTATGGATCTGTCCCATGGACTGTCCCCTTGGAGAGCTGGTGAGCTCTTGGAGTGGGATCAGTGGCTTGTCTTCCTCTCCCTTTCTCTCTGAAGCTGGAAAAGAATAAGCAAGTGGTATGAAAAGGTCCAAGAGTTTGGTTTTTTCCCTGTACTTTGGTCCAGCCCTCATTTCAGTGATGGGCTGGATGCATTAAAATGTGACATTTTCAGGATAGATTTAATGTTGTTGAAATCCTGGAGGACAGCTCAGAACATCTCTGCTTAATCTAAAGGAACAGGTTCTTCAAGATTAGTGAGAGGCAATGAGGAGGAGGCAGCGCACAAGTGGTTGAAGTAACCACTAGTTACTTCAAGTAACAAGGCATGTCAAAGCCAATACATCAGTGGCCCACTAGGAGCTCCAGAATTTATTTTATTTTTTAATATGTTCAGATATTCCCAGACATGCAGGAGTCAAGCTCAGTAGAAGACAAGTATGAGTCTTTTTTTTTGGATCTTGTCTGCACAGTCCAACCACCTAAGTCTGAAGCAGGCTGTGAATCCCTCTGACCTTTATACTTCATCTTTTTCTTGCAAAAAATCAGAGTGGAGATGATTCTGTGTCCTTCCAGCCTGGACCTGGGAAGTGATTGGTATGTTTATGGGAGTTGAGAGCAGATAAATGGCCCAATCCATCTCTGGCTCAGGATGTAGCCCTTAGGATTGCAAACCTTCCCTCACAATCAGCCTCTGCAAGCTCTGATGTTGGTCCTTTCCAACATGCTGAACATGAAAATCACACTCTTTTCAAAACTGTGAAAATTTCTCCATGAAGTAAATGCAATGCAGAAGCTGCAGCAAACCCTAAAATGCTTCTGGTTTATCAGGGCAACAGGACTAATTAGCTTAAGCTCAGCTATTAATATGGAAATATAAAAGTTTTCTCCCCATTGATTTGACCAGACTGGAGAAAATATTGTAGTTTCCGTTCTCAGGATGATGAAGTACCTAGTGATCCTTGCAATCTGCTTAGATGTCAGCAAAGCAGCTGGGAAATACCCCCTAGCACAGGTATAATTATTGAAATCCAAAGCGTTGCAGGGACTGGAGATCTGCTTGATGGGGGTCTATTGAATGGGACTGGTGATGAGAATTTTAAGCAATGGGCTCAGTTATTTTCTAGAATCATAGAATGGTCTGGAAGGGACCTTAAAGGTCATCCACACCCCCTGCCATGGGCAGGGACACCTTCCACTAGATCAGGTTACTCGAAGCCCCATCCTACCTGGCCTTGGACACTTCCAGGGATGGGGCAGCCACAGCTTCTCTGGGCAACCTGTGCCAGTGCCTCACCACTTTCACAGCCAAAAATTTCTTCCTAACATCTAATCTAAATTTCTCCTCCTTTAGTTTAAGTCCATTCCCCCTTGCCCTATCACTGTCTGCCCATCACTTTTTCTGTAGGTTTCATTCTTATTATTATTAGCCCTTATTATTATTTGCGCCAAAGAACATCAGAGAAAATACTTGCAGTCGTTTCTGTTGTTGCAATAAAATGCTACCAGTAACAGATCTGCAGCACTGGCAAGGGAGGAGCCAGTTTCCATGGTTAGTGAGCACAACAGACCCGTGGCAAATATTCACTGTGAGCTGGATTTTAGCAGCAACTCCCTTCAGAAAGGCTTTAGATACAAGTCCTTTATATAAGTCCTTTATATAAAGGGCTGCCCTTGGCTCCATATTTCCATGACCACAGACCAAATGTCACTATCAGTCTGTGATCACCGGTTTGAAGATAAATTATAATTACTTTTCCTCTTTCATTCCTTTTCCCTTATTTTTGTTAAATTCTGGTTTCTCACAGTTCCTGTCTCATTTTTAATCCAGGTGCTGCTTGATCTATTAAAACAGCCCTGAGAGGAGCTGATACATCAGTGAACATCCACCAAACACCTGTTGCTCAGTTACCAGGCACCTTTCTGAAGGGTGCAGCATGACAGAGCTCCACGAAGCCGTGGCTTTGGGGGACTACGACCTGGTGGAAAAGATTTTGAAGGCAGGACGCTGCGACCCAAACCACAAGGATGTCGACTGGCACGACAGGACCCCACTGCACTGGGCTGCTGCCAAAGGTGAGGGCACCCCAGCTCTGTTACCTCTGCTAACCAGCGTCATAAAAGGTGATGCTGGTTGTAATTATACATATGCTGGAAATAATCACAGCTTGTATTTGGTAGTTTTGTCCTTAATGAGCAAAAAAAAAAAAAAAAAAAAAAAATGCCAATTTAAGTGGGAACTTTGCCTACAAAATAATTCATGGGATTGCCGTCGAAGTGATTTTTAACTTTTTTTTCTTTCATCACATGAAAATTTGCAATTTACATGGTAGGTACATAGAGCATGGCTCTTGTCCCCCACTTTACTTTTCTAAGAGGTGACTCCATACAGTGCAAAGTTATTTCTCATGTACACCTGTGTGAGTGAGCAGAAAGTAAAACCCACTGTATTTGTATCAGATGTTTATCAAACCCAGTAGAACAAAATAACTGTGTTTTACATTGCTTTCCTTTTTTCTCACCTGCTTGAGTAAACAAGGCAGGACCAGAGGTGTTTGCAGCTCCCATTTGGTCTTTCTCCTTCAGAAGTGTCTGTTAAAATCAAATATCCCTTTACATCTCAAAAAAGAGATGATGCAACAATACATAATGTATAATTGTACACTGTGTAAAATGGGAAGCTGAACCTCTGTTCCTCTATGCTGCAGTGTTTGTTACATGTTGGGATCTCATGTCATGCAATCTGTCTTTACTCAGAAATTAAGTGTATAATTTGCTGTTTGAAACTTGAGACCATGTTTTTCTTTTGCCCTCATGGATTATTATGCATTTAGGCATCAGCAAAGGGAACAGAGCTACTTAAGAAAATGAGAGACTAACATTGCCTAGAGGCCATTGGGAATGATCTAGCTCAGTCAAGGCAGTGTGAAGTGGGCTAGAAATAACTTTTTTTGCTTCTTTAAGCAATTCCCCAGGTTAGAAAAATGAGAAGGTGAATGAAAACAAGTATTTTCTCTACCTCCTATCCAACAAACCTTTGTTTTAGTAAAGCTGTTCACAGGTTTTCCCATTCTTTATGTTTAAATTTTATACTGCAATGAACTAAAAAGCAAAATGTAACAAAGAAATAGTCAATTGGTCAATGACTAATTGCTGTTCAGAAATTAGAAAGCTTTTTGATCTAATAGTTGTTTTTGTTGTAAAGTTCTTCTGGAAGCAGTCTAGTTTGGGAAAAAACAACCAGCATTTTCTATTGAGTATCATTCATATGATAATAGAAATGGTCGGGTCGTGGGTAAAAATCCATGGCTGAGGGAATTATGATCAACTGTGCGTGACTGTCTCCTGCATCCCGAAGGTACAAATTCTGATGCAGTTGCATTTTCTCTCCTCGTTTTGCTGCCCACCTCAAGGGCGGTCGGATCTGGTCAAGCTCCTGGTGGATCACGGCGCCCGGCATTGCCTGCGGAGCGACGTGGGCTGGACTCCGGCTCACTTTGCCGCCGAGTCGGGGAGGCTGAGGGTGCTCCGCACCCTCCATTCCCTGCACGCCGCCATGGATGCAGCCGACCTCTTTGGCGACACTCCCAAGAGGCTTGCAGAAATCTACGGTCACCAGGACTGCTCCAAGTTCTTGGAGAAGTGAGTAGTGAGGGCAGGTCCCGCTGCGGCAGTGGATGGGGCTCCAGCAATGAAAATTAAACAAACTGTCCTATAAAGCAACAGAACAAACACAGGGTGTTACTTATCTGTCCACCTAAAGCCTGTTGTAGCCGTCAAGCACGAGCAGTAGGAGATAAGCAAACACGGGTCTGTCACAGGGAAGTCATTTAGAAGAAATTCTTTTGTTCCACTGCCTCCTGCGGTTTGCCTTGGTATGTTTTCAAAAGCGTTACCGCTGGTGACATCATTGTTTTTGTAAGGGTGTTACAGAGAGATTGTTAAGCAACAGAAATGAGAGCAACAGCTGGCAAAGATTAACCCCTTAGAGAGTGGTGAATACTGAAGACACAGGTTGAATTGTTTAAGAGCAGCCCTTCAGCAGTTGTATATGTATATATATGTATATCATCTGGCTTTTCTTATAGTGAAGAAAAGAACTGTTGTATTTTTTACATAATTATTGAAAATTAGACCATTTGATCTGTTAGTAGGATGGCCACATATTACTCCCAAATTTTGGGAAACTCCTTACTGCCTTAACTGTTTACAGTTAGCACTGTGGCACCACTTGCCATGAGAAATATGCTTTTAGAGGATTCCCAATTACCATTCCTGTTTTTCAGCCACAGGTTTGGCTCACAGATATTTTCATCCTTGCAAAGCTGTTTCCCTGGATTAAGATGCTGCACTCCAGAGGTTTGAGCTGTGTCCCATACCTGCATCTCTCTCAAGCAGTGGGACGGATCACCAGAGGCCAACCAGCTTGTTCAGTGCAAACCACAGTCCCACACACTACTTGGTGTTTAAATACACTGCCCGTGAAACCTGCACAAGCAAAAGCCTGGAATGCTGAGAGCTCCCTAAATCTTTTTCTTCCCTGGGTTTTTCTGTTAATTTACAGTCCCACCATAGTCCTTTACTGGCATCTCTTTTACCACTGCCACAGTTTCAAGACTACTTTGGCACCATGTATATCCTGGATTTTTTTTTGTAGACAAATATCTAACTCAAAGTCTCCAGCTTGCCAGTGCAGCACAAGAGTTGCCAAGTTAAAAATCAGGCATGGTGATTGGGCAAATGTCTGAGGAGGCCAGTGCCTACCAAGTGCCACTTTTCTTTAGTCCACATAAACCTTTCTGTAGGTGCTGCTGTCCTTTAGCTGTACTTCTACAGCTTCTTGTTTCCTCTGTTAGGTTTCCATGCCCACCTTTTATCTTCACACAGCATCAGTGTTCTGCCATAGGAAAAGACACCCAAACTGTGCAAAATCCCCCTGTACAAAGCCCAGAAAACTTTCTAGGGCAGCCACAGGTTCCAGTTTCTAAGCTCTGGCTATTATGAAAGCTGCTGGAACCTTTGCATTTTACCTGCCCATCCAACACAGAATCATAGAATGTTTGAGAGGGACCTTAAAGCTCATCTCATTCCAACCCTCTGCCATGGGCAGGGGCACCTTTCACTAGACCAGGTTGCTTCAAGGCACATCCAGCCTGGCCTTGAACCCTGCCAGGGACACCTTAGAGCTAAAGCTGTGCTATATTTGGAGCTGACATGTGGAAACCCTCACTATTCACCACCTTCCTTCCACACAGAAGTATCAGCTCTTCTTACCCTCAGACATTCAGTTTAAAGACATTTAAACAACGAGCAGCTGTTACCTAAGCTTTGCTAAGTAGGGTCTTAACTGCCGAGACCCTGGCTTTGTAGTAAAGCTCAGGTTTGCCAGACCTTTGAGAATGGGGCACTATGTTCCAGTGGAGTTTCTCTTTATACTGTTCTCAGCTCTTGACATGCTTAGTTTCTATACCAGCGCAGGTAAATGTGAGAGTGAAAGTCTGCAGGCTTCTCTCCTTTGGTGAATCATTTATAGCAATTACTTGCCTATTCAATGCTGTCCTTTTTGCATTAACCTCACCAGTAATTCCTGTCCAATCTGCAGCATTTGCTGGGCACTTGGTTGTGCACGAGGGCCATGACAGTGAGGTGACAGCAAGGGTAGGGGAATTGCCTGGATGATCCCAATGGGCGATGCCCGTGGCAGGCAGAGGCTCCTGGGAGAATGACTGACAAGTTGATTGACAGGATGATTGACATCCTGGTCTGAGATACCTTAGCAACAGCCTAGGGCAACTCAGGTAGCTGATGAAGGGTTTTCTGAGGTGAATGACTGATTTAAGCTGGAAAATGTGCCTTTCAGAGCCATATACTGGCCTGACTCACCCCACAGCGGCATGGCTCATCTATGAGCATGGCTGAGAGAACTTACCTGGGAAGATGCTTTGAATGCCCATGCCTAGGACATTTTATAAGGCACACAAAGCCTGTGCAGTCACCTCACAGCCATAACACAGCCTGTGGGCAGCCAAGAGTTTATCACTGTTACTCAGGAACACTTTTTTTAAGCCCAACCACTGTAACTTACAACTGCAATGGCTTCACCTCCTCATACCACCAACCTTGGAGCTGGAATGGCTGGCATTTGTAGTATAATTTTGATTACCTTCGGCTCCTTTAGATGTGCAGAAGGTCCTAGAGGTGGTCAGGTAGTGTCAGCTGCTGGGCAGTACCAACGTGTGCTGCAGTCACAGAATTAAGTGTGTGCCTGCACATAATGCTGCACAGCACAGAGCAGGTCTGCACTCCACTCGTGGTGTCTGTGGTATATAAATATGAGGAATATTTTGTCAGTTTTGGGTATTTGCTTGTCATGCAAAAAGAGAGAAAAGGCAGGTTTTCCATTTTTAAATTTGAGGGTCTGTGCCAAATGCAGGGCTGATGAGCATGTCTAAACAGGGCTATGAGTATCCAAATCCTTCCTAAATCCTAATTCAGCCCCATCTAGCACTACCATGACCCTTGAACGCTGTGTGTCTGTTCCCAGGTGTTGCCAGCTGCATGAACTACCTGCCTGCCCAGGCTGGGCCACTGCTCTGTGCTGAGGACTCTTTGCATTCACATGGAAATATTACATGTATCAACATGGAAATATTATTAACATGCAAATATTGGGAATATTTTGCTACCAAGTATCCGTACAACTCACTGAGGTTTGCATGGACATGCAAAGGTTAGGAAACAACCTTCAAAACAGCTACTTCTGAATAACAAACACATATTTTGCATCAGATTTGTTTTGCATGAAAAGGGCTTTACCCTGGTTGCTGCGAGAGCTGCCAAGGATGGTGCTGAGCTGGCACAGACACCCACAGCCTGTGCCTGCTGCCAGCCTCTCTACAAAGTGCCAAGTGTTGAACCTGCACCAAAGGCTCCTTCTATCTGAGCCCAAAGCATATGTTCATACTCACGTGTGTATAGGTACATACATATCTAAGTCTACAGAAAGATGTTTCTTGCCCTTGGTAGCAGATAGTTAATAGGAGAAAATAAAGATAGTTCAGTTCAAAGGGACCTGCCACAATCATTTGGTCCTATGGCCTGACCACTTCAGTGCTCACCAAAAGTTAAAGCATGTTATTAGGGGCATTTTCCAAATGCCTCTTAAACACCGGCAGGCTTAGGGCCTCAACAATCTCTCTCAAACACAGACTCTGTGGAGACCTTAGATCACCTTTCAGTACCTGAAGAGAGCCTACAACAGAGCTGGAGAGGGACTTTTGACAAGGGCATGGAGTGAGAGGACAAGGGGGAATGGCCTAGCTAAGTAGGGTTGGATTAGATACTACGAAGAAATTCTTCACTGTGAAGGTGGGTGGTAAAGGCCCTGGCACAGGTTGCCCAGAGAAGCTGTTCTCTGAAAGTGTTCAAGACCAGGCTGGATGGGGCTTGGAGCAACCTGATCTAGTGAAAGGTGTCCCTGCCCATGGCAGCAGGTTGGAACGAGATGATCTTTAAGGTCCCTTCCAACCCAAACCATTCTATCATTCTCTGACGTAGTAAGCTTATGTGATGAAGCTCATCAGTGTGAAGGCGCTGGCTTTGCTTCCTGCTCTCAGCTGGGATAGCATTTCACTGATGTGACAGAGCTGTTCTTTCACAGAAAAAAGTATTTTTTTCCTGATACTTGATGATGTGTTTCTGATAGAGCTGCATAAATCCTGAGTGCCTACAAAATCAGAGCTCTGCAGTAGGAGGAAAGGGTTTGCCTTCTCTTGGACAAGACTTACACTTGGAATTTCCATGTCCAGATCCTGACAGTGATGGGGCCCAGGGGGGGTCTTTGTGAGGAGAGGTTGGGGCTGCACCATGCCAGGCACAATGCAGGGTTTTCTCAAGTGTTACTGGCAGCAGGTGTTTAACCAGACTGAGGCACAATCCTGGAGATGGACTCTGGAGATGGTGCCTCATGAACAACCTGGAGATGTGACTGTGCTGTGCTCACTCTTGTTTTCTCGCGCAGGGCAGAGGTGGAGAGCAGAAACTACCGCACGACAGCTGCAATGAAAGGAATCCCCTTAGACCAGAGAGATGAAGACTGGGAACACAAGAAAGAGGAGCTTGGGAGAAACCCACCATGTTTTTGGGAGAACTGCACAACCTCTGCTCCAAAGAAAAATGGGAAAAAAAAGGGGAAGCAGTAGTTTGTCCTGTCTGTTTGGTGCCTCTGAGCATGTGAAATGCAGAGCAAAGGCACTGGCAGATCTCAGGTGAATCTGCAGGGTGAAATACACATGAATGGGGGAAGCAAATGCCCACAAGGATGTGTCCTTGAGATATACTGCAAACAACATCCTTAACAGGGAAGAGGTAGAAGTGCTTCTGTCTTTCTGTGTGTCTCTATGTATCAGATTTCAAATATCAAAAAACAGCAGAATATGTTTAAATATACCAATACTCTAAATCACTGGAATGTTTAAAGTTATTGAGATGACCAGCAGTTACTCATATTGTGAGGGAGGGAAATGGTTTTGGTCCTACCTGAATCACAAAAGCATCTGAGATTGTGGTTCTCCTTGCTCTGCTGATATCTATGGTCTTTCCTTGTTTTCTTCTGATCCTGCATCAACCAGGAGGTACTACAGGTGCCTGTGACCTCTGGTGTTGCCTCTCCCTTTTCTCAGTCGTGGGGTGTAGTTGCTTCTTCTGGCTGAAGTTGAGATGTTGATCTTGAACTTTCACTGGACACATGGGTCCAACAGCCTGAATCTCCCATTCCTATCCCAGCAAAAGGGAAAATGTGCTCCTCCTTACTGCTTTCAGAGATCTGTGACTTCCAAGAGTGTTGGAACACTGCCTTATTTTCAGCAGTACTCCCAACTATTTTTATATCTCTGCCTTTAGGAATGCTGTGAAACTGGTCCTGAGCTGTGCCTTTGATCATCAACACTTCCCATGGCAAAAGCATTTTTAACTGTTTAACTTCTCAATCACAGAAACTTGGAATGTGACCCAAAGCAGTTTTCCATACCCTGCCAGCACTGGGCAGCCCCTCCCATTGAGCTGTGACATGTCTTCTGGGTCAGCTTCCCCAGGCTGGGCACATCAGTGCATCTCTCCATGTGGGCTGTGCACTGTGGCTGTGCTGGTGGATAACGTGTCCCCTCCAGGTGCAGCTGAGTGGGGCTGGTGCACAGGGCAGTGATGCTGTGCTGGGTGTCATGTTCTCAGGGCTTTCCTGGAGATGGCAGAAGGTATCTGCAGTGTGGTTTGCTGGGGCTGCCTTGTTTTGTGTGGTGCTGACATTGGCAAGATGCTGGTTTTGCCTGCTGCGTGTTGTGGTATGTGAGGTTGTGAGGGATGATGTTGCATGGGAAGTAGGGAATCAGATGGGTCTTCCAGGGTCTTGTGAAATCAATTGGAACTGTCCTGTTAAAGGGCGAAGTGCACAAGCAACACAAGGGAGAGAAGGGAGGTGTGTTGGTGCCTGTCCTTTCAAGGCCTTTCAGTGGGGAGATGTGTCCAGATGAGATTTTTAAGATTCACCTCAGGACTTGAGCTGGTGAGAGAAATGACCAATTCAGGTTCTGCTCAGTTCATGCTGGAACTATTTCATGTTTAGAGGACCTGCTGTGGAGGGTTGACCTTGGGCAGCTGCCAGCCCCCCACCCAGCTGCTCCTTCAAACTCACCCATACACAGGGCAGGCATGGAAGAGCTCATGGGTCAAGATAAAGGCAGGGGGAACACTCACTCATTTGTTATTTTGTCATGACAAAACAGACTCGAATTGGGGAAAATGAACTGAATTTATTTCCTATTGAAAACAGAGTAGGATGATGAGGAACAAACACAAAACTAGAAACAGATGTCTCCAATCCCCCTGTTCATCCCAGACTCAACTCCACTCTGTCATTTCCAGCTTCTCCACTTCCTCTCCGTCAGCAGCACAGGGGGAAGGAGAATGGGGATTGCAGTCAGTTCATAATGTGTTGTCTTGTCCACTCCTTCCTTCTCATGGTCTTCCCCTGATCCAGCACAAATCCTATTTCGTGGTTATTTTACTGGGCCAGTGTCCATTTGGAAAAGTCAGTCTCACCTACAAGTAAAAGCAGAGCAGGAGAGCAGTCACACAGAGCAGGGCAATCCTGTTCTTGCAGGAAGTGGGGCAGAGAGGACCCCTGGTGTGGGCAGTGGGCTCTGCACCCACCTGTGCCCCCCACGGCCATTCCTGCATCACTGTTTGTGTGTCAGTGACCACCTGTGGAGAGTGACAGGGATCAACGTGTTCACACATCAGTTATCAACCACTGCCCAACAGTTATACAGCTCATCATATTACACTAGAACAGCAGAAAGTAACGTAAACTAAAACAGAGATAAACCTGTTGTTATTTTGGTTGTTTCAGTCAGCAAATACTAAAGTGTTTGAGGAAAGTTTGCAGTATTGTTATTGCCCTTCTGTAACCAGCCCATGTACCAGGTCTAAATAAATTTTTTATTGGCAATAATTTAACTCAAAGAATTACCTGGATGAAATTGTAATTGAAAATATTTTATTTAAGCCACACTATTTTAGTTCATAGGATTTGAATGATATCTTCTTAATCTCAGTGATAAAGACTGAACATCTGTATGATCTACATTGCCTGGAGAGTTGCATGAGAGATTAAATGACTCCCTTTCTAGAATGAAATATCGACATTTTGCAAGTGCTACAGCAGTTTTTTACAGTTCCTACCTCATGCAAGCCTTGAACGTCACAGAGAGCAGAATCCTTAGCAATGTCTTTTCCAGTTTGGGATTGCCAAAAATGAGAATAAGTGAATGAGCACCCGGAAAAGCGTATTGAAATACTAAAATGAGAAACGTCACAGGACTTCCCTTCCTCGTGGCATAAACCAGTGTCAAGATCAAAGATGCAAAGTTGATGCTGTACATTACAAAAAAGGAGAGAATGGATTTCATAGCTTTGATGTGGGCATCCATGCTGAGGTCCTTCATGGAGTTTGTCTGCATGTTGTGTTTGTGTTTCCAGAGGGAAAAGAGAAGGAGAAGGGCAGAAAAGGTGACTGCCATGAATGAAACAGCATATCCAAAGCCAGCAATAAAAAAAGAAGGGAAAAAATGTTTATCCATTTTGATACTTGCTTTCCAAAAATTACCTCGTCCAGTGGAATTGCGGTTGTTACAGTGCGGTTTATTAGCGATATCATAGACAATGATGCCAATAACCAGGGAGAAAAGCACTGACCCCAACAAGAGCCAGGGCACAATCCTGTCAATTTTTACTTTCAGGTAGATGAAGAAGCTGTTCCTGAAATTGGCAATTTTTATGCAATAAAAAACACAAAGACAGGCTGAAAACCACAGACTGGAATAACTTAAAAAGCTCTGAATAGATGCAACTAGTTGAAGTGTGGGTTGAACATACAGGAAATGGGGATAAATTATTGAAAGAAAGAAATATACCCATGAGATGCACAAATACCAAAACCGGGAGCATCCCAGTAACAGCAAGATCTTCTCATTAGAGTTCAAGGTTTTCTTCTTGACCCAAGCCATGCAAATCACAGAAACAATGAAAGCATTTATCCACATGCCAGCAAACGCCTCAAGGGTCACTATAGCCACAGCTGTGGCATCATATGAAGTGATATTGAACTGTTCTTGAGAGTGACAAGCTTCCATCCTGGGAGCTGGGAGCAGTGCTGTGCTGGACAAGGGGCTGTTGCACCAATGCCAAACACAGGTCAGCGGCTGCTGTTGCCTGAGTGTCAGGTCTGGAAAGAGGAGCTTTATAGAGCTGCTGGTGGGGGGGATTTTGGTGCCACTGGTCTTGAGAGCAGGGCAGGTGCAGGGATGTAAATGTGCTGGGTATCCCCTTACCTGGTGTCAGTGTCAGTTTGCAGGATTTGCATGTTGGTTCAGGAGGGCTGTGTTGGGTGGCACAAAGAGCGGAGAGGTTTTTGTGCTGTGGACAGCGTGGTGATTCTGTGACTGACCCATTTTGATCCCTGTGAGGCTTCAGGATCTGGACTTTTCTGTGCTTCAGTCAACTACAATGAGCAAATTAGTTTTGTCTGCAGTCATTCAAAAATATTATTTCTTTTCATAGTTTTTATATTGTTGGATGTTAGCGTATTGCCTTGAGAGAATTTTCATTTTCTGATATTGCCTGTTTTCTTCTTTATCCTTTACTCTGAATTTCCTCTTGTTTTGCTGAAAAAACCACAATAAATGGTGTAGGTGGCTTTTTTTGCTTGTTTGTTTGTTTTCCTTCTTTCTTTCTTCTTCTCTCTAGATGTATATGAGAAGAATAGATGTTATGTGTAATACAACAGGTCTGAAGATGAAGTGTCTCTGATGGGATTGTGCTTGTACAGGGAAATTAAATGAAGATATTACACCAAAAGGACCATACCGGGACTGGAGTTTGTGTTCAGTTCTACTTGGAGAATCTCACACCTTTAAAAAAATAAGGATGTAAATCAGAGTCTCAAATGCTGGGTTTTTAAAGCAGGAAGATGTTGGTCAGGCGCTTGAAATACAGATGTCTGCTTTTAATTCAAATCCATGCTCTCCAGCACCACTTGAGAAGGGGAAAGAATCTCTCCGTTTTTCATCTACCAGCCACTTTTGGATGCCCTTTTTGCATCTCATGTAGCACCAGACCCGTGTGTTTCTGCATCAGAAGAATTGGATCAGACTGAATTGCTTCCACCTGAACTTGGTTCAGGCTGAACCTCTTCCCTCTCCACAATCCTTGTCTTTCTCCTTTATATGGGAAATCCCAGATGAGTAGCCTAACTAGTTAGTTCACTAACTACTTAGGCTCTTAGTCCTGCAGTTTCTACTGGGGGAATCCATTGCATCCATAACTAAACTTTAATGCTCAGAAGGCCACAATTGGTTCAGGATGCAATCCTGAGAAACAGAATAAAAATCTCCTCTGGGCAGGTATTATAAACTTTATATGGAAATCTTAATTCAACCCCAAATCCTCCTTAGACAGAGAAGGAGGACTAGCATTTTATAAAGTGGCATTAGTTATTTGTTTACTTGTTTCTGGGCAGTTGCTGTTTAAAGAGAGATGGGTTGGTTGGTGTGAGGCAGCCTGAGAGATTGTGTGGTGTTTGGGAAAGGAGATATTACAGTGGTTGAGAGGTTGCTCTGGCCTAAATGGTTGTTTCTCGCATTTCATGAAGAGGAAGGAAGCGTGTTTGAAGGTGTTATTATGAGAAATGCAAAACTGGCGCTTGGGGTGAGGTAAAATGTCCCCCTGAGCCTGAGCTGGTGACAGAGATGAACAAATAAGATTCTGTTCTGTGGATGCTGGAACTATTTTAAATTTACATGGCTTGCTGTATATGGTTAAATTTGGACACCTGCTGGACCCTCATGCAGCCTCTCCTTCACTCCCACTCTACAACAGGGCAGAGAGGGAAGATAGGATAGAAACACTCATGGCTCAAGATAAAGACAGAGAGATCACTCACCAGTTACTGTCACAAGCAAAATAGACTTGACTTGGGGAAAATTAAATTTATTGCCAATTGAATATAGAGTAGGATAATAAGAAAAAAACACAAAACTAGAACCCCTCGCCTTCTCCCCTCCTTCATTACTGGCCAAAATTCACTCTCACATTCCCACCTTCTCCACCTCCTCCCCCTCAGTGGCAGAGTGTGACAGAAAAGGGAGTTTGTGGTCAGTTCATAACATGTTGTCTCCTCCACTTCTTTTTCTTCCTGCTCTTCCTCTGCTCAGGTGTGGGTCCCACCCATGGGCTGCAGTCCTTCAGCATAAGCCAGTTCCAGCATGGGGTCTCCATAGGATGCAGTCCTTCAGGGAACGCCCAACCCACCCACGCTGACAGGCACTGATACAACTGGAAATATTACAAGGAACAGAGCCACAGCAGAAAGAAATGTAAACCAAAATAGAGATAAACCTGTTGTTCAGTTCAGTCATTTCAATCAGCAAATGCCAAAGTGTTTGAGGAAGGTTTGCAGTATTGTCATTGCCTTTTTACATACAGCCCATGTGACCAGAGCTAAATGAATTTGTTATTGACAATAATTTAGCTCAAAGGTTTATCTAAATGAAGTGATAATGATTTAACGCATACTCATGTGGTTTAAAGAATTTTCATGAAGTTTTCTAGAACATCTGTATCATCCACACTACCTGGAAAATTGCATTACAGATTAAAAGATTTGTTTTCTATAATGAAATATCAGTATTTTTCAAGGGCTCCAGCTTTTACTACAGTTCCTACCTCATGCAAAACTTACACTTCACACAGGCCAGAATCCTTAGCATTGACTTTTCCAATTTGGGATTGCTGAAAATCAGAATAAGGGAATGAACAACAGCAAAGGTGTAGAGAAGTACATAAAGAAGAAATACCACAGGACTTCCATTCTCTGTGGTATAAACCATATTCAATATCAAACATGCGAAGTTGATGCTGTATATTACAAAGAAGGAGAGAATAAATTTCATGGCTTTGATGTGGGCATCCATGCTGAGGTTCATCATTGTCTCCATGTTGCGTTTGTGTCTCCAGAGAGAAAAGAGAAGGAGAAGGGCAGACAAGATGACTGCCATGAATGAAGTGACAAACTCAAAGCCATAGATTAAAAAAATAGACAAAATATGTTCCTCCATTCTGATACTCACTTTTGAAAAATTTCCTTCACTGGTGGAATTGTTACAGTGTGGTTTATGAACAAAATCATAGACAAGGATTCCAATAACCAGGGAGAAAAGCACTGACCCCAACAAGAGCCAGGGCACCATCCTGTCAATTTTTACTTTCAGGTAGATGAAGAAGCTGTTCCTGAAATTGGCAATTTTTATACAATAAAAACCACAAAGACAGGCTGAAACCCACAAATTGGAACACTCAAAAAAGTTCTGAATAGATAAAATTAGAGTATATGTGGGTGGAACATAAAAGTAATTGGGATAAATTATTGAAAAAAGGGAATATACCCATGAGAAGCACAAAACCCAAAACCGGGAGCATCCCAGAAACAGCAAGATCTTCTCATTAGAGTTCAAGGTTTTCCTTTTGATCCAGGCCATGCAAATCACAGAAAACATGAAAGCATTTATCCACATGCCAGCGAACGCTTCAAAGGTGATGATGGCCACAGCTGTGGCACCGTATGCAGTGACATTGGATTGCTCTGGAGGGTGACAAGCTTCCATCCTGGGAGCTGGGAGCAGTGCTGTGCTGGACAAGGGGCTGTTGCACCAATGCCAAACACAGGTCAGCGTCTGCTGTTGCCTGAGTGTCAGGTCTGGAAAGAGGAGCTTTATAGAGCTGCTGGTGGGGGGGATTTTGGTGGCGCTTGTCTTGAGAGCAGGGCAGGTGCAGGGATGTAAATGTGCTGGGTAT